CTTTACTAATCAATCTACCACGTGAAACCTTGCCAAAGGCCTTGCTAGAGTCCATTGTAGATAACATCTACCGCTTTGCCCTCATCTATCTTCTTGGTGATATCCTCAAAAAACTCAAATGAAATTTATGAGACACGATTTCCCACGCACAAAGCCATGTTGACCATCCCTAATCAGTCCTCGCCTTTCCAAATACATGTAAATCCTGTCTTTTGGAATCCCCTCCAACAACTTACTGACCATTGACATCAGGCTCACTGGTCTGTAGTTCCCTGACTTTTCCCTGCAGCCTTTCCTAAATAAAGGCACACCATTATCCACCTTCCAGACTTCCACCACCTCACCTGTGGCTGCCAATGATACAAATAATTATGCTAATGGCCCCGCAATTTCTTCCTTAGCTTCCCACAATGTCCTGAGATATGCTTATATCAATAGTGAAACATTTTAAGGAGCACTATCAGAGAAAAGAAGATAGAGTCATGGAGTCATAGAGTTACACAGCATGAAAACAGACCCTTCAGTCCAACACATCCATGTCGACCAAATATCCTAAATAATCTAGTCCCATTTGCCAGCATTTAGCCATATCCCTCTGAACCACTCCTATTTAGGTACCCATCCAGATGCCTTTTAAATGTTGTAATTGTACCAGCATCCACCACTTTCTCCGGCAGTTCATTCTATACATGCAAAACCCACTGTGTGAAATCGTTGCCCCTTAGGTCCCTTTCAAATCTTAACCCTCTCATCTTAAACCTATGCCCTCTAGTTTTGGACTCTGCTACCCTGTGGAAAAGACCTGGCTATTCACCCTATCTATACACCTCATGATTTTAGAACAAAATCGCTGGGCTGAGTGGCCTACTCTTGCTCCTATGTTTGTTAATGAAAATGAGAGTATATAAAGGATAAAATTTACACTAACAGAATCTGTTGGCATAGGAAGAATAACCCTGTCTCTAAAGGGGAGTGATGGCCTAGTGGTATAATCACTGGACTGTCAATCCAGAGAGCCAGCTAATGTTCTGCGGACCTGGGTTTGAATCCAGCCATGGCAGATGATAGAGTTTGAATTCAATATCAAAAGAAAAGAAAAAATCTGGAATTAGAAGTCTAATGATGACAGCAACTCCATTGTCGATTGTTGGAAAATCCAATCTGATTCACTAATGTCCTTTAGGGAAGGAAGCTGCCATCCTTACCTGATCAGGCCTACATGTGACTCCAGACCCACAGCAAAGTAGTTGACTCCTGACTGTCCTCTGGGCAATTAGGGATGAGCAATAAATGCTGGTTCAGCTAGCAATGCCCTCATCCTGTGAATGAGTAAAACAAAATCTGTTAAGCCACAAAGATAGAGCCTTCTTTCTGTACTTACCATGATGAAGGGTTCTGCTGATGGAGAATGATGCATCCTGTATTAGCAGTAAGTCAAGTACAGCATTGCTTTTCGTTTTCCCAATGACAGTCTACCAGAATATCTGAAAACCTTCAGTTAAACATCCTGATAAAGGTAAACGTTGCGAGACAACATATGTTACCGCGTTTCTGCTCTTCAACACTGAGATCACGAAGGGTGATTGCGTCACATTCCACAAGCTGTTTTCTATGGAACACACAATGGCCCTTTAAAGTCATTCATTTTAATTTCATTTATACTTCTCTGGCTGTCTGTGCCCATTCAATTGAAGGAAAGGTAATGAACTTTTTCATTATTGGCCGAGATCAGAATCAATACACACCTGGGTCAGGCAGTCAGATTTCGATTAACATCCCCTGCATAACTCTGTGTGCATTAACTACAACCTTCCTTGGAAGTGCATGCCCTTCTGCACAATTATGAGAATTCATGACCCATGCTAGCCATCATTATCTTAAGATAGAAACATAGAAACCAAGGGCAGGAATAGGCCACTCAGCCCTTCATGTCTGCGCTGCCATTCAATATGATCATGGCTGATGAGGTATCTCAATGCTCTATTTCTCCCCATGCCACTTGATGCCTTTATCTAAAATCTAAAAAATTATCTATCTATATGTTCGGTGACTTGGCCTCCACAGCCTTCTGTGGTAGAGAATATCATAGGTTTACTATCCTTTAGAGTGAATAGATTATTCCTCATCTCAGTCCTAAGTGGCCTCCCCTGTATCCTGTTTCCCAGTTCTAGTCTCCCTGACCAGGGAAAACATCCTCCCTGCATCTATCTGTCCAGACCTGGCAGGATTTTATACATTTCAATTAGATCCCCTCTCATCATTCTAAACTCTAATGAATACAAGCCTAGTCAATATCTCCTTACAGAACAGACCTGCCATAGGGAACCTCTGCCGCATTCCTTCTCTTGCAATTATGTCCTTTCTTAGGTCGGGAACTGGTAATAGTGAAGTTAATTTTCCAAGCCAGTATCCTTCCTTACTATTGCGTTGATTTCTTCTTTTACTAATAAAGTAGGTGAGTTTCCTCCAGGTGCTCAGATTTCCTCCGACAGTCCAAAGATGTGCAGTTTAAGTGGATTGGCCATGCTAAATTGCCCCATAGTATTCAGGGATGTACAGGCTAGGTGAGGTAAGTATGGTAAATGTGGGGATACGGGGATAGGGTGGGATGCTCTTCAAAGGGTCAGTGCAGACTCGTTGGCCCCATGGCCTCTATCTGAACTGTGGGGTTTCTATGATGCTGATAATGCTACCTCAGCCCCTTTGCCTTTTTGTCCCTTATTCCCAAATTATGAATACCCCCAGATGTTCAGTTCCCATTGTCGCTAACCCTACAGCCATATCTGTAATCACATCAATATCATAACCTTTTATATCTGTTTGCCCTTCTAATTCATCTAAGTTATTGTGAATGCTCTGTGAATTAATGATGATCTTCTTCACAATATTACTGTATATCTCAATTACTTGAGTGTCGCCTCCCAATGTACAGCAGCTCAGTGGTTGGCATTGCTGCCTCACAGTGCCAGGGGCCCAACCTTGGGTGACTGTGTGCGTGGAGTTTGCACGTTGTCTGCATGGGTTTCCTCCAGGCGTTCCAGTTTCCTGCAGGTTAGGTAGATTGGCCATGCTAAATTGCCCTGTAGTGTCTAATGATGTGTAGGATAGGTGGGTCAGCCATGGTAAATGCAGGGTTATGGAGATAGGATAGTTGGGGTGTGTCTGGGTGAGATGCTCTTCAGAGGGTTGGTGCAGGACTCGAAAGGCTGAATAGCCTCTTTCCACACTGTAGGAATTCTGATTTCTAAAAGTCCTTCTTCTGTGAAGATGACAAAAATCACACATGCATGATGCAACCATAAAAAACATGTTAATAAAAGGCTATTATCTCAGTATTCCATGTGGTGTCATGCGTGATGCAACCATAAATAACATGTTAATAAAAGGCTATTATCTCGGTATTCCATGTGGTGTCTGTGAAACGTACAAACTTTCTTTTTAAAAAAATCCGACCATTTGATCCACCAATAAACTTTTGAATTGGCACTTTATACACCAAGAAGTGATGCAGTCAGCACAGATTTGATTTATTATTATCACATGTATCCAGGTACAGTGAAAAGTTTTGTTTTGTGTGCAGCACAGACAGATCATACCATACAAAGTGCATAGGGTAATAGAACAGAGCGAGAAATACAATATTACGGCTGCAGAGAAGTTGCACAAAGAACATGACCAACATTAAGTTTAAGCTTTGAGCAGTCCATTCAGAAGTCTGATAACAGCAGGGAAGAAGCTATTCTTGAACCTGTTGGTACTTGTTTAAGCTTTTGTATCTTCTGCCTAAAGGAAGAGGGTGGAAGAGAGTATGACCAAGGTAGGAGGGGTCTTTGATCATGTTGGCTGCTTTCCCGAGGCAGTGAAAATTATAGATGGAGTCAATCAATGGAAGGTTGGCTTGTGTGATGGACTGCGCTGAGTTTGCAACTTTCTGCAGTTTCTTATCGTCCTGGGCAGAGCAGTTGCTGTACCAAGCCATAATGCACCTGGATAGAATGCTTTCTGTGGCGCATCTATAAAAATTGGTAAGTGTCTTGCCAAATTTCCTTAACCTCCTGAGGAAGTAGAGGCATTTTTGTCGTCACATATTTTTTGTGACCGTAGAATCAACATGGGTCAACCAGGAGAGATGGTTGGTGATCACCACTTCTAGGAACTTGACACTCTGGACCATCTCCACCTCAGCTCCAATGATCCAGTCAGGGGCATGCCCCTCACCTTCCTTCCTGAAGTCAATGACCAGCTCTTTCGTTTTGCTGACGTTGAGGGAGAGATTGTTATCTTTACATCATTGCTTGAGATTCGGCCTACAACAGCAGTGTCATCAGCAAACTTGTAGACAGAGCTAGGATGAAATTTGTCCACAAATTCATGAGTGTACAGGGAGTACAGGAAGGAACTGAGCAGTAGTGGCATATGGAAGTAAGTGATGGAAACAGATTGTATTCCCTTGGTTACAGAAGATTAGATGGTGATCGGTCAGACCCACATTGATTGAGGACTGTTGAATCTGGGGGTACTATTAACCCAATATTATTTTAGTGGTAGGAGTGGAACAGGAGAGGCAGGCAGATAGATCACGCGTATAGTTATTTTTCTTTTCCTCCTCTGCCTATGCAATATTGGACGAAAGTGTGGGCAATTTTAGTAATATTACCCGTAACACCAAGAATGGAAAGCTCCAAGTACATGGACACGCATTCTGAGAGTCAGAACAGGAATTACTGACCACGCTTGCATACATGGACTTTATAAGTTCCAGCAATTGTTATGATTTCAAGAAATTTACAGGAGGGGACGATGTCATTGCAACATCCAATCATTTTTAACTTGTGTATATATGTAAAATGGAAGAGGTTGCGGGGGGGAGTTCCAATAGCAGTTGCCGAGAAAGGTTCATTGTGAGACTCTCTGTCCGTCCACCTGACTGAGCTCTGGATCAGTCCATTTCTTCTGTGTGAGTCTGTAGTGTCAGCAGAAACCCCCAGCAGGGGAGGACGGGGCGGTGGACAGAGCTGCCTTCTCCCACTCCCCTTTTTGAAGGTTGAAGGCCAGGCTCGGCTCCTCCCATCGTCTCTTGGCTGCGGGCGTCCCCCGTTTTCCCCGGCTGAAAGGCAGCATTTCATACCGGGAGCGCTCCCTTACCCTGCCCTGCTATTTTTAGCATCGGCCGCCGGAATATGAAGCAGTGGATTGGAGTGTAAACTCAGGGGCTGGTCTGTGCAGTAATCGGAGGGGGAGGAGAGAAAGGGAGGGAGGGCAATCAGGCAGGCAGACTCTGCCTTTGCAATAAAAAGGAAGGAGGGACATTAACAGCGGTCGGTACTGCTTTTTTTTTGTTGAAGAGCAGTAACGCAGATCGCTTGTGGATCTCTCTCTCTCTCTCTCTCTGTGTGTGAGAGAGAGAATGGCAGGGGTTCGCTAACAGACCAGCCCGAGGGAGGGGGCACCACTTCAGCCTTGACATGTTGACCAGAGCTGTGTAGAAAGAAGGCAGCTACAACAGCAGCAGCAGCAGCGACTTGGGGTAAGTTACTTGGCAAGAACCAAGACCTGTCTTGTTCGTGTCGTGTCAGTTCAGATTTATACCGTGCTTATAGTGAAACAGATTTATGCCTTAACTTTGTCCCGTGAACCTCCCACCCCACCACCGCAAACACGTTATTTCATGTCCAAAGTAAAAATATTCCACTCGAACCTAACTCTGCTCTCACAGTAAGTCTGCCCTCAAATGCAATCTGAACATATTGTGTAATAATAATTGTACATTTTCAAACCTCAATTTCCACAGTCCATACGATGTTACGTCTACCTCGGTTAGCATGCTGTGTTACAGTTTATTTAATTCAGATTTATTCATTTCAGTGTTATGCGTTTTCTTGGTAACGATAGACAGATAGTTCTGTTTACAGTTGGTGTAGATATCATTGTCTTTCGACCTTGCGATTATGATGCTTTAAAGTACTGAAGCAACTTGTTATTTCGTCTAAGTCAATTGAATGTGAGGATTGTTGGTCATGAAGCAAGTACACTTTAATTTCTAGTGATTCCCGTATCAAATTTTCTCGGGCCCCACTTGTAGGCTTCACAAAAGCAATTTCTTTCACTTGATATTTTTGTGATTACTTAATTGTTTTGTTTCTCTTGATGAGTTCTTTATTAACCTTTATTGCTGTTGTTTGTCTCCTTAGACCATCACCTTCCTCATCTCATGCCCATCCATCCATGTGCATCGAATTTAAAACAAAACCAAAGGAGACAGATTCACTGCTTCGCATTAAATTTGAAAATACTGCTAAACATTTACTTGAGGATGGCAACCCTACATCAGCATTTAAAAGCAAATCTGATGTTAAATGTGTTTATTACAGGGTGGCTGTCACTGTCCATGAAAAACTAATACTGAAATGTTGTCCAATGACCCAACATTTTTTTCAGAACTTGACTCATCTCCTCCTGTATCCAGCCTTTTCTGAAAATTGTAGGAATATTATCAGGTGAGGAGAGTACAGCTGTCCCGTAAATGGAACTGTCAAGAGTATTACAAATTGCAAAATGAAACTCTGCTAATGTGATGTGTGCTGCAAGTGTGAATGCAGTAAAAATGAGTGACAAGATAGTGATATAACCCTGGGGTTCAGAAAACTGACCCCAGTTGCACAGCATTCATCTCATGGTTAACACCTTGATTAGATTATTCCCTTGTCCCTTAGACTCCATCATTGTCTTATGAGTCATGGAGTCATAGATATACAGCACAGAAACAGACCTTTTGGTTCAACACATCAATGCCAACCAGATATTCTAAACTGATCTAGTCCCATTTGGCACACACCCTCTAAACCCTTCCTATTCATATACCCATTCAGATGCCTTTTTAGATGTTGTAATTGAACTTGCCTCCACCTCTTTCTCTGGCAGCTTGTTAAAGATGTGTGCCACCCTCTGTGTGAAAATGTTGCCCCTTGGGTTCCCTTTTAAATCATACCCCTCTCACCTTAAACCTACGCCCTCCAGTTTTGGACTCCCCTACCCTGGGAATAAAATCTTGGCTATTCACCCAATCCAGGCCCCTCATGATTTTATAAACCACTATAAGGTCACACCTCAGCCTCCGACTGTCCATGGAAAAAAGTCCCAGTCTATTCAGCCTCTCCCTATTACTCAATTCCCCCAATCCCTTCAATCCCAGCAGCATCCTGTTATGATACTTCAAGTGCTCATCCCTACATTTTAAAGGTTATGAGATTTCCTGCCTCAACTACCCTCCCAGGTAGTGCATTCCAGATCCCCACCAAATCTTGGATGAAAAATTATTTCCTCAAATCCACTTTAAACCTTTTGCCCCTCACTGAAATTATGCCCCCTTGTTATTGACCCTTCAACAAAGGGGAGCAGCTGTTTTCTGTCCACACTGTCCATGCCCCTCATAATCCTATACACCTCTATCAGGTCCACCCTCAACCTTCTCTGCTCCAAAGTAAAAAACCTGAGCTTATGCAGCCTCTCTTCATCACTGATATCCCAGGCAGCATCCCAGTGAATACCAGTGATCAGAACTGCAGGCCGTACTCCAGCTGTGGCCTAACCAAAGTTTTGTACATCTTCAAAATAACCTCCGTGCTCTTATAATCTATGGTGTGGAGGTGCCAGTGTTGGACTGGGATGGACAAGGTCAGAAATCACACGACACCAGGTTATAGTCCAACTGGTTTATTTGAAAACACAAGCTTTCGGAGCGTAGCCCTTTCATCTGACAGTTTCAAATAAACTTGTTGGACTATAACCTGGTGTCGTGTGATTTCTGACCTTATGATCTATACCACGACCGATAATGGCAAGCGTCCTTTACATTCTCTTAACGTGTCCTGCCACCTTCTGGGATCTGCGGACAAGAACCCCAAGATCCCTCTGTTCCTCTGAGCTTCCTAGTGTCCTCTCATTCATCGAGTACTCCCTTGTCTTGTTACTTCTTCCAAAGTGCATCACCTCACAATTTTCAGGGTTAAATTCCAGCTGCCACTGATCTAACTGACCAATCTGTCGATACCATCCTGTAACTGAACACCTTCTTCCTCACTGTCAACCACCCAGCCAATCTCTGTGTCATCCGCACATTTACTTCTTATCCTCCCGCTACATTTTCATCTATGTCATTTCTGAACATCACAACCAATAAGGGACCTAGCAGTGATCCCTGTGGTACACCACTGCACACCAGGTTCCGGTCGCATAACTAGCCATCTACCACCACCCTCTGTCTCCTGAGCCAGTTTTGGAATCACCTTGCCAAGTTCCCATTCTTTATGCCATGTATGCTGTAGGTAGGAGAGAGAGGTTTAACAATTAGGTTAACTACAATCTAGAGAAATTAACCCAGCCCCAAATTAGGTCAGAGAACAGTAATGCATCAATTGAATATCTGATTAAGTAGATATTGTCCTGTAGAAGTGAATGAAGGATATTCTCAATCAGACTTTACCTTCGAAGCTCCTGCTTTTGCTTTGAAACAGAAAAGGAATAGTATTTTTAAAATGTATAAATTTTGCCTAAATATATTGCAGTGTTTTATACACTTGTATATTATTGTACATAGTAGGGAAGTAGTGGGTTTTGTAGTAATGTCATTAGCTGAATAATCCAATGGCCCAGGCTAATATGCTGGGGACAGGGTTTCATATTCCACCCTGGAAGCTGATGGGATTTAAAGTCAATTAGTTAGATAAAACCTGAGTAATGGTGAGTGTGAAACTATTTTTTTTGTTGTTATTGTTAAAAACTAATCAGGTTCTGCCATGCCCTTTAGTGAATGGAATCAGCCATTCTTACCTAGTCTGGTTTACATGAGACTGCAGATCCACAGCAACTCTTAATTGCAATCTGAAATGACTTTATGAAGCCACTCAGTTCAAAAGCAACGGGGGATGAACAACAAATGCTGGCCTTGCTGCCAGTGCCATATCCCATTAAATAATTTTCTTTTAAATCCTAAGGTGCAGTGTTCATTAAATTAACCTTTCTCTACAGTTTATCCTGATTCTCTGATCATGAAATTTAACAAGACAAATTTCACAAAGCAACTATTTCTGTATTAATCTGTGCACAGTGCTATCACCTTTTCTTAAGCAGTGAACTAAGACAGAAAGTAATGAATTTACGTACAGCTAACTTTGAATGCAGTAGGACTGACAGAACCAGAATCAATTTATATCAAGAATCAAGTGCTGCATTTATAGAAAATTAGTATTCTTCATACAGGCTGGCATATACTTATTTTGTGGGCTTGGGTTTGGCTGTAAATAGGAATCAGCGAATTGATGACCTTGGGCCTCAGAAACCAGGCCACACTAGTAGAAGGCTAGTGACATAGAAATAGGTGTAGGCCATTCATTGTCTTGAGTCTGCTGTGTCATTTATTATGAACATGTCTGATTGAACAGTTCAGTGCCTTGTACGAGCAACCCTTTATGCCATTGGAAATCAGAAAATTATCAATATTTACTTTAAATAGACTCCAAGACTGAGCTTCCACATTCCTCTGACTCAGAAAATTCCAGAAATTCATCACCCACCTCTGAGTGTTTTTAAAAAAAAGTTCTCCTCGTCTTCATTCTAAATGACATGCTGCTGATTTTGAAATTGTGCCCGCTTTCCCACCAGGAAAACATCTCCCCTGCATCCACCCTGTTGATCCCTTATTTTGTAGGTTTCAATGAGACCATCTCTCATCCTTTGAATACGCACCCAGTTTGCCCAATCTCCTTTCATAGGACCATCCCACTGTCCTGGGAACAAGGCTGGTGAACCTCTGTTGCACTCCCTGTATGGCAATAATATCCTTCCCTGAGGTAAGGGGACCAGAAGTGCACATAGAATTGTCACTTTGTCCAATGTTGTATCTCGTCTGATTACTATCACAGCAGCATTTTTGTTTTTAAGAAAGAAATAATTCTGATCTTGATGACAGAGTAGCAAAAATGTGAGATTTTGGGCAATTAGTTTTTTAACATGGGGAAGAGCAGGAAGCTGTCCTTTTCCGAGAATTGTTGCAAGGAAGTTGGTTGGGGGTTGGGGTAGCTGGTGAAGCTGAAAGTTTAATCTTTGCCAATCAAATAGCTGCTTTCTCAGCAGCTTGCACGATTTTTTTTTTCTCATTGTGCTTTCCATGGCAACGTTTCTATAATTTTTTTTAAGCAAGATTTAACTGTCATAAGAAATTCTCTTTTCTCTAAATATGGTGTTGTGAATCATATTAGACATGAAACAAAGCTTCAAGGCTGATGATACAATCCTCAGCTGTTTCACAACACAAGTTGTTTTTGCTTGACCAATGACGGATTTCACTGTTCAGAGCTATGACAGAGTGTTGAGTCATTGAGAACTAAAGTATACAGTAGTGTACGAGTACAAAGGTTTAACAAAATAATGAAACAACAGTTCATAAAAGAAAAACAATAGTTACATTGTTCAGGAAGAAGAAATCTATTGAACAATTCCCAGCATCCACTGAGTTTCTGTACATTAAAGTTCTGCAAATTCTGGTCCATTGCTTTTTGACTAAGGTTGAATGCCAAATGAAAGTAATTTAAAGCACATCTTGCCCATATGACACATTAGCAAAATACTACAGTTGCTGGAAGTCTGAAATAAAATCAGAAAGTGCTGGGGAAACTCAGCAGGTCAGGCAGCATCGGTGGATAGAGAAACTGATGTAAAGTTTTAGGGCTGTTGCCCTTTGTCAGAACCCAACGCTTTAATTTTGTGGCATCAGTATGGCACTCACCAACAATGTTGCCTGAAGAAAAGGTCAGGGAATGTGACATCCAGGTAACTTCAATTTTTAGACAAGAAAAATGGGAAATGTAGTTAATTCCAGTTAAAATTAGATTTTGCTCATTGTGGTATTATCAAAATAGCATTGTTGATTAATATACAGAAACATATTGTGTATCCTGGCTGCTCTTTGAATTATTGCAAATAAGATATATTTTGCAGTAATTAAATCTCAAAAGACAAAACAGAAATGATTGATTTTAATGTTTTTCAAGATGAGTGAAAGCAATTTGTTGGTTTTACATGTCCTTTTGTTCAGTGACTTGGATATATCTTGCCAATTGTAGTAAGCATGATCTCTCACAATCGCAGAATTCCCATGCAGCTGATTTTTATTTTAATTGTATTCACCCAAGTTCACTTTGTATTTGTCCAGCTCATGAGCCCTTTGCTTGCTTCCATACAAAACAGGAAACATAAGCATTTATGAAACCATAGAAAATAATGACTTCCATCTTTTGATTTAACTCCTTGATATTGAATTTGATTGATTTAGCTCTTGATATTGAATCCACTAATTCCCCAAAACAAAGACTGAGCAGATGTTATCGCTGCATAATTTCTCTTTGTCCCCCAGAGTCATTCTAATGTAATGTCGTCTCTAAAATGTTTGAGGTTGTACCAATTAAATTAGTGTTATTTTATTGGGCTGTTGCTTAAAAGG